TTCGCCTCGGGCCCCGACAATCACAGGACCGGCCTGCTATCCATGTTAATTTACTCTTAACATTTTTTTAGCACTAGACATCTCAAAATTTTAATTTACAACAAAACTATCACTCATTCCATCCATTTACACCACTAAATGCCACGTGAAATGATGGATATACCCTCTCTTTGAATAAAAAAAGAGAAAACAACAAAATCATTGAAATGTCATTGGACTGCCTCTGCAATTTCCGTTCCTTTTTTTGTTGCTTTGTGAGTTAATTTTATTTTTATTCACTTAAGAGGATGGCAAATTCAACTAAATGGATGGAACAACGAATTTTGCTACATAATTGAGAGGATGAGAATGCATTATACTAAAAAAAGTTTGTCGGAAGATTTGTTACATTAATGAAAGGAAAAGGATGACTTCCAATTATTCTTATAAATCATCCATCCTTATTCGTTTAAAAGGATTTATCTTAACTAAATCATGAAAATAAAAATTATTAATAAAACGAGAAGTTAGGATGTACTTACAAGGAAAGAATCTCCAATCATGACAATGAAAGAGTCAAGCGAGGGTTCAACAGTAATCCACTTTCCATCTTTCGTTAAGACTTCCAATCCAGTTACTTCACTTTGATACAATATGGTTACAATGTTCTTATCAGTGTGGGAAGTCAATCCAAGCTTCGTCTCATTGCTTTGAGGTCCATCGTACTTCTGCATTCGAACAAGGTAATCTGTCGATTCCATGTGCTCATCCATGTATTTTTCTACTCCCAAGCTCTCAATAGTCATCCTTCTAACTATTTGATCTAATTCTGATAATTGTTCCGAGAAGGACTGTACGGCCTCACTGCCAATACACATCAGTCAATTAGTATCGTAAGCACTGGGGATTCAGGCACGGGCTCGACCGTGCTATAGCCAATGCCTGGATCCTGAAAATGTCTAATTTTTCTTAGTTTATTATTATCATTATTATTATTTTTTAAAGATAAATTCATTTATATTTATATTGTAGCCCGTGTTCAACCTCAAGGTTGGATCCGCGACATAAGAGTACTAATGCAAGTGATCTCGACTATAATATCAAAGAATTTAAACTTACCTAAAAGTAGGGTTTCCGTTTGGCCACATAAGATTAGCGAAGTTTTCGATCTTTCCAAGGGCAAGTGCATTACCGATACCCAAGCTCTCATAGAGTGGCACAAAGGCATGTTGTCCAACATACCCATGGTAGGGCTTGTTCGATCTGTTTTTGAGCTTAATTTGTAAAGGGAGATCGAAAAGCTCTTTTAATGCATCAAGTGTTGCTTTACGAGTTCCTTTTGGAATTTTATCAAATAAAGCCTCAAAACAACCGTATTCTTCTAGGGCCCGGCGGACTTGATTTTTCACCAAGTCCCACGTCTGAGTACCTTGTTTGACCTCGGAGAAATCTATGGTGGGAAGCTTGATAGTTTCGGAATCGGAACCCATTTTTCTTACATTCACTTGGATAGTAAGATAAAGTGGTTATTCAATTCAACTGTCTTTATGGTTACTCCAGTTTCTAGCCAGGTACCTATAAATAGAAATCAATTGAGTCTTTTATGGATTATTGATTTAAATAAGGGAATAATTTCTATACGGTGTGGTTTAAAAAGTTGATAAAAACATAAGTAAAAGTTAGCTATTAATTTTAACTATATATTTTTTAGAATTTACAATTTTCATCAATTTTCATTAATTTTTTAACTACACCAAACAGGAAATTAATTACCAGAAACTTGGATGAATTCTATCAAAAATATATTTTATTCTATACACGCATAATGTTTATAGGCGTTATGGCTATTGAAGATATAAATATAAATTGATAAATTAAATCTTTCCCGAATTTTAAGTCCCCTATTTGATCCCAATTTTCTAAAAACTCATTTTTTTTTTTTTTATTTCCAAATTCTTTGTGAGACTGAAAGCATCCGTCGTAACGAAATATCCGTCCAAATTCTGAATTAGTAATTTTGCCAAAAGGATTTAAGAATTCTAAATCCAGAGTCCTCGTATTGGCAAGAAAAAAATAACAAAAGCGACTAAATTGTATTGCATTGGACAAGAAATGGATTGATTTAACTTAAATGATATTTTAACATCCAATATATTATTTTTTAGGTTCAATTATTATTTTCAGTAGCCTTATGGGGACATAAGATAACATAACAAATTGTAACGCGACAGAGAGCCAAGATACTGTGCGAAGACTCTGTGCATCCT